TGGAGGAGAACCTATATTTCTTTCTCTGCAAAGAGGTGATGTTTTTAGCTAAAAATCTACTTAGATTACTGTCAACTATTTGTTCATATTCACATTGATTGGTTTTTCCTTTTACGGTCTGGTGGGACAACTTGACAATAAAATTGTGACTGTGGTGAAACTTCACTGCATTGGAATGTCTTCTTCCCTATTTCTCACAGTTGGGAGCTGAGGAAAGAAAGTCAGTCATTCTAATTGATTAAGCACCCATATTGGAATGAATAGATGCTCTACCCTACTTTGTTGGAAGTTGTGCTCTCCCCTTCTTTGTAACTATGCGAGCCCACCTAGCTACCATTTGATGTCACTTCCTAAAACTGTAGCTTGGTCCTGTCCATAGGACATATGTCTAAATAATTATTTACTATTGGTAAAATATATTTTTGCATGTTTTTATTGCTTTAAAATTTTTACCCTGTTCTTGAAATTTTAGCTCTAGATTTGTTAAAAATGTTTATTTTCTCCAAAGACGTATATGTCCTTATATTTCAAAATAATTAATTGCGTAGCAGTTTGGATTAAGTCTTGCTATGCCATTTTTTTTTTTTTCTATCTATAATCTAAATTGAGCATTTTTAAGTAATTACATTTTTCTTCTCAAACCTATATATCTGTTTATATTTAGAGAATTTTCTTTTTTGCCTTTTTAAAGACCATTACTCCCTAGTATAAAGTCTGTGCATCTTGGTCCTTGCACGCCATGCATGCTGGTGTACTTGAAGAGAGCAGTAGTAGACCCCGAGAGTAGCTAGGCCATCCAGATTTGTTAGTCTCCAGTCCCCAGCTGACTTGTCTTGTACAGTCCCCTCCGGTCTCCTGGGCTGGACAGCGATGTGGTGGTGATGAACAATGTCTACAAGGAGCAGTTCCCTAAGGTTGGTATGCCGGTTGTTCCACTAATGAAAGATTTACCACAGTGGACATTTGGACAATCATTACTTGTTGCCAAAATGATATTCTTGCCCAAAATGTAGTTTGGTACCTGCAGCTTCAGAACACATTTTGGCTTGCATTAGATGCACTAAACAGGACCTTTGGGAGAGGCCACTGCTCATCATAAAACAGCTCGAGGAGCATGAACTCATGGAATTTGTGTAATCTTTACACAAGGGGATAAGAAACAACAACAACAACAACAAAATGATATTATCAAGAAAGAGTCAACATTTGTGTACTTTTTTTTGGTATAATCCAAACTTTTTATTCCTAAATATCTCTTTTTACTATGATGAATTTAGATTTTTTTTTTTTTTTTAATTTCATATTATGCAAATTCTCTTTTTTTATTTTTTTTCATCTTCCAATGTTAAAATGAAGATTGTACCATATTTATCTATTGAAGAAGAAATTTGCTTGATTTTTCTAATATATTCCAGTGATGGTTATGACATATTGGTTGAATGTATCTGCCATTTTGGAATTAATGGTTGTTTGTGGAGTTTTATTTCCAAAACAATATATAGCATAATCACATTGAAACAGCAGTTTGTGGAATATACTATTGGAAAATATAGCAAAGTGTCACTTGTTGCTTTTCTTTCAATGGTTAAATACTTCTGATGGGTTCCCGGTTTGGATAGTTGAAAAGGGAGTATACACGATGTGACTTATTAAAGTCTCCTTACTTAAGTATATATATATATAGCAATTTAGGCCAACAATCCCATGTATATAACCCGCGGCAAGACCTTAATGTTGTATAATAGCAGCACAGCTGTCAGTGATGCACTATCGGCATATGTCTTTACATCATCACATGTAATACAATTTGTGCAAACAGGATAAATAAAATAAATAAAAAAAGAAAAGGGGGGAAAAAACTCTGTAATTGATTAAGAGTTGAGCTAAAGCAAGGATTGAGCATATAATATTGTCAGAACAATGGTCTAAAGATGGAAACAGCCGCGACACTATTATACAATTTCATCAGACAACCCACGAAATCGTTATTAAATTGGGCAATCTATAAAATACTGAAACACAGACACTCGCGGCAATGTATGTGGCCGGTAATTTATGGGAGACTTGATTATTAGTAACATTCCCTTCAAATAGGTAATAAACATACAACATTTCATTTAAACAATGGGAATAGCACCATAAGGCAAATTATGTATGAAATAGGTAACAGAGGAAACAAGAAAATTTCTCTAGATATTTATTTAAATATCTTAAAATTTGGGAACATGTCTATACTGACGAGATATGCTATTTACATAGTAAAATTTAGATAGAGGTGACCTGAAGTTACTTTATAGCCCTTTAGGGCCCATGCGAAATCTAGGTTGGTTACTACACAAAAAAAAAAAAAAAAGGGGGGGGAAACCTAGATCTCCATCTATTCTAGCGGGACAAAATATACGAACCCTAACACTCCTTTTTAAGTCACTTAAAGCCCTTTAGGGCCCATTCAGAATCTAAATAGATTAGCTTCTGTTCGAAAAATAAAAAAGGGGGGGGCTAAACCATAATGGCGAGGGGCTTACCTTTTCTCGAAAGTGCCGGCAAAGGTCTGGTCTCCTGTCTGCAGACAGTCCTTTCACTGAGCGACTCCGATCGAATCCTGCCTTTTGGCAAAGAACCTTCTTTTATTCATCTCTCTCTCCATTTTCATTCGCCGAAAGAAACACCAATCAAAATGGCCAACGGCTCCAGTATCAATTTCATAGACGCCCCAGGCCTCATCAAAATAGAACATATAGTATTACCAAAACAAAAAAATCTAAAAAGAGAAACAGTCATGGCACTAGTGTAAGATTTCAGACTCCAGGCCTCTTCCATCAAAATAGAACATATAGTATTACCAAAACAAAAAAATCTAAAGAGAGCAACATCTACGGCGATAGTGTAAAATTTCAGACGCCAGCCCTCCCATCCACATGGATTGAAATACCATCCTCCCTTTTTCTCGGGACGATATATATATATCGCCCCCCCCTCCGTCTTAGCTAAAATTGACACAGGCCCCTTTTCACTTGAACTGTAATATAACGCTTTCCTTTCTCGGTTCAGTCTTTTAGAGATCTTCCTTCTCCATTTTTTTTTTTCTGGTCACCTTTACCTAAATTTTTGGTGAGGGGAATATATGTACATATGAAACAACAGTTTCCAGCTCGGATGTCTCTGGATGTCTTCTTCTTTACCAGGCATCAGCTTTCGGCATGGAAGTCTGGTGTCATCTGTTGTCTAGGTTTCTGGGCAAAAAGAATGGTCTGTAAGTCTATGTGGGAGGGAAGCCATGTATCCATTTGATTTGATTATACATACGCCTTCTGTTGGGGTATGGTTAGAAAAACGTGCCCCAACACTTCTAGCTATGAATAAAATTATCAGACTTCTTAGTTAGGGCCTTATTTTATTCCATAACTATGTTGTTGTTTCTTATCCCCTTGTGCAAATATTACACAAATTTCACGGGTTCATTCATGGAATGGGATGTAGCTTTTGTTGATCATGGCACCATGATCCATGCACACTTTGGTGAAAGTTTGACGTTGCCTATTTCATAACTATTCTTTATTCAAATCGTATAAGGGAGGTGATGATAGTTGCTTCAAATTTAGTCTGTAGGGTCGGAAAGCTACTTTAGTCCATGTTCTATAAATCCTTTCAGTGCAGCAGTCGACGCCAGCTACCCGATTAAAATATTACTCATTTCCACCTGCCCAGTGTGAGAAATTTGATCTTTGTTTAGTTAGGTCGCTGGGTTCGCTTGAGAAAGACTGGTAACATTTCCCTCATTTTTAGTTAAAAATAATTTAGACAAGAAGTCATTAATGGACTTTTAAAAGATTATAAAAACAAACCTTCCACAAGCAAGCGGAAAAGAAGCTTGCTGGTTCAAACTGAGCATCACTTAGAAGAGAGACACTTCCCTGATCAATTTGAAGATAAAAAATTCCAACCTAATTATGTTGTATGCCTTCCTAGTAAATGTAAAAAAGGGGGGTAAGAGAAAGCAAACATCATTTTACTGCCCAGATTGCCCCAATAAGCCGGCATTGTGTGTCACCGCCATGCTTCAGGATTATCATATGAAGCAAAATTTTTAAAAATCCTTAACTGTTCAATTTAAGTATGTTATATTTTTTATTATATACTTGACTATTGAAAACGATTTTTATTTTATGAATTAAAAAATTTATGCATCTGTTTTTATATATATATAACCTCCATTTAAATCATTAAAATAATTTCTTCCACCCACAAACAAAAAAATAAACTCTCTCTGGAAATCCACCCTAAACCACCCCTGGTACACTCCCATTCCTAACGAATCTTCTTTCCCTACCCTTACTAGGGATGAACAAACAGCGATTTCAAGATTACGAACAGGACATCTTAGAATTCTCAAATTTAATGGAAAAATCAAAACATTCCCGAAATGCCCCAAATGCAATTCCCAGCCTGCCAGTCCTGAACATTTATTGAATTGTTTCAAATCCTCCAAAAAGACCTCTGGGAAAGCCCCAGGACTATAATAGAAAAGCTGAGACAATGGAACCTAATGGAGATCGTTTAAACGAATTGAGGAATAAGCAACAACAACAACAAAACATTAAAATCATCAAATTTGTACAAAATAACTAAAAATCTATATTTATCATCATTAAGATAAATATATCTTTCTTTCTAATATATCATTCATTAATTAAATAAAAAATGAAAATAAATCAATTTTAGAAAAAAATAAGATTTTGATCATTTTTGGAAAAAAAAAAGACAAAATGACACCAGCACTCAAAAGGTTAAAATTCACCATTGTCATTATTGGTACATGCAACCTTGCTGCTGCCCATTTAGTTTTATTCTTTTACAAAAATTTTAAGTTCTTCCCTCTCATTTTCAAGTCTAAAGGTAAACGCATATGTAGGACTTTATTAACCAGTTTTAGGGATTTAAACAGGACTTTAAAATTCTCTCATAAATTCACTGTTATTATTAATTTATAATATAAGCCTACGGCCATACCACATTGAAAACACAGATTCTCGTCCGATCACCGAAGTTAAGCAATGTCGGGCCTGGTGAGTACTTGGGAGGGGGAACACCGGGTGCTGTAGGCTGTTAACCAGTGGGTCGGTGGAAGGATGGTCTAAACCGTTGGTTTTCGACCACTACGACCCGGGTTAAAAAAAAAAAAAAAATGCGCCAATGGCCCTCGATTCTTGCAAAAGTCCAACCCCACCAGCGAGTGCAAGTACCCAAACGGGACTCTGGCCCATTTGTAAGTGCAAAGTCGAACTGCTTTTCGCATGTGTAGACATGTGGTGAACTTTCAGTAAAAGCGTTGCCAACTTCTACCCACAATGATTAGCATGGCCTGTACCACGTGTACTAGGGATAAGCAAAAAAATAAATAAATAAATTTGAAAACTAACAAATAGTTATTAGTTTCCCAAACTTGTAAACTACAATCACCAAATTCCAGAAGATAGTGTATTCTAAACTTCCTGCTTTCTACAATTTAATACATTTTCTATAACCAGAAGAAGTCTTCTCCTTTCAAAGTTGAGTTGAACCTTGTTATAACAACATCTCTGCACTAAAACCTCGCTGTAGTTAACTCAATGGAATTGAACTTCACTCTAAAACTTTTTAACTGATGATCCCTTTTTTTTTTTAATTCCCTAAATTTATTATCCCTTAATGCTCTATATCAAAATGTATGACATAAACACAAGGTGTTAAGGCCAAATATCCCAATAATTTATAATATATACAATCCAAAAAGGACACAAAAAAAAAAACAACTTGTGAAATGATGTCCTTTGATGATATAGATTCTTCCGATTGTTTAATTAGCATAATGGCACTTTTATGTCTAATTTAAAGTCAAGACAAGTCCTAGACAATGTTTTATATATATTAATTATATTTTTAAAGATATAAATCATTTAAAAACAATTTCACCATATTACACTACAATACAAAGTTTATGGAAAAAAGCCTGTAATAATTTTTTCTTGAAAGCATTCTTCAAGCATTGCCTTTCAAATAAGTTGAATAGTTTTCTCTTCCATTTCTCCAAACACTCTTCTCTAAACAAAATTTTGTCTTATTTTGAACCTGTCATTGTTGTATCATGGACTGTTTATTAGGATATTTTAAAGCCTAGCCAGGACACTTCTTATACATGGGGATGCTAAATTGTTTCCAATGGCTCCTGATTCTTGCAAAAGTCCACCAGTGAGTGAAAGTAATCAAACAGAACTCTGGCACACTTTTAATTGGAAAATACAAACTGCTTTCCACCTGTGTTGACACGTGATGCATTCACAGTAAAAGCAGTCAGCTACTACCCACCATGATTATCATACTGGCACATTTGTAAGTGCAAAGTCGAGCTGCTTTTCACATGTGTAGACATGTGGCGCACTTACAGTAAAAGCAGTCACCTACTTCTACCCACCATGATTATCATGGCCTGTACCGCGTGTACTAGGGATAAGCAAAAAAAAAAAGATTATCATGTCCTGTACCACATGTACTAGGGGAACAAAAATAAATTTTAGATAATTTTTTTTTTCTAAGTTGATGATTCATTTCAAAAATTTAGCGATTTACTTCTTTATTATGACATGATAATAAGACCAAATAAATTAATAGAGTGTGTGATGTTTCAATAACAGCATTCAGACAAAAGTCTGGATCTCATTTGGGGTTAAACACAATTTATAAATATTTGATTTTTTTTTAGTTCTCAACTCCAGATGGCAACATTTTAAAAACATTTTTTTCTTTTTATAAATAATATATATTTTTTTGTATTTATAATTTATTAAAATGATATAATTTAAAATAAGTAACTTATTATTTTAAGAAACAATGAGAGAACAAAATAAGATGTTTTGAAAGTACAAAAGTGGGTACATTTATTTCTTTGTTCAAAAAAAGCACTCAATAATGGTCACTGATTATTTCAAATTTTTTTTTTAATTCAATATTTTTTACCTTGAATTTTCAAATTAAATTTTTTAATTAGTCTCTCATGAGAGAGACCAAAAAAATCAACTCTTAGTGGTTGCTGATCATTCACGGAGATGGTCACTCATGGGAGACTCCTTATAGCAGGTTTATACAATGGATGTTTTGTCTTTACAAGGGTGGTCACTTAAAAGTTGAGTGAGATGAGAGTATTTACATATACCTATCAATAGAAGCCCTCACCTGAACATGTAATCCATTATATTCCAATGACAAGACTTCTATTCCAAGTTTCATTAGGATCTGCCAGCTGTTGGAGCACCATTTATAACATATGTTCTAGCTCATCACTCAGGAATAGGGTGGCACAACTCCTTTGAAGTTATTGGTTGCCTACCACTATAAGAATATTGAAGAACTGGATCTATATACAAAATAAAATGGCACCATAAGATTTTTATAGTCTTGAAATTCATCTCTCTGACTGGAATAAAGCCCTGTTCAAACTGGAATGACATTCATTTCAGGTAGTAGATATTATAGAAATGTGTTTACAAAAATGCAGCAAACAGAATGTTTAGAAGTATATGTGAGCAGGCTACAAAGCATATGGAGGAGAGACTGCAGAAATTCCTGGAGGAACACCGCGATGTTCCAGCAGAGCTGGCCTCAGACACAGTGGCTTGTTTCTCCCATCACCAGGTGGTGGAGATGGGCCGAGACACGCTGCAGCAGGCCGCAGCCCAGATGCTCTCCTCCCAGTACTTCTATGAGATCTCCCACAGCATGGAGAAACTGCTGGAGGAGGTGTGTTCTCTCTACTGCCATGTATACTTCTCTGTATGCCTTGTTGCAGAGCCACTGTCCCTTAGAGAGAAGTCTTCTATTCCCAGAGAGTTGTTAATTAGTAAAAATGGGAATTTTTTTTTTTGGCTCTGAAAAATGTGTTCTTTGTAGAGAGTATTCCTCTAGTATGTGTGTCCTTTCTTAGAGGTTATACTTTAAGGATCATAAAAACATGCAAATTTCTATAGAAGTAGAATGTGCCCTGCAAACACTGCCATTTTGACCTATATTTATAATATACTAGTAAATTATCACTATAATAATATATACGTATAAATACTATTAAAAATTATTATTAAAAAATTAAATATTATGAAAATATTATTGTTCTAAACACTATATTAGAAGGGAACAGGAAGTTTAACAGTGTTGTACATGGTGACAGTGCAAAGTGAGGTCTCCCGGGGCAGTGGGCTACCTCAAGAAACTGATCAAGCGGCTCCTACTAATCATCTCCAGGCCAGCCCGGCTGCTGGAGTGTCTGGTAAGTCAGTCTGGAGTCTGCCACCACAGCAGAGGCTGGAGGATGGTGTTGGGTGCAGGAATTTGACCCGGAGGAGTTTTACCGTCTGCTGGAGGCTGCAGAGGGCCAGGCCAAGGGCACCCAGGGTATCACCACAGACATCCCACAGTACATCATCAACAAGCTGGGACTTACTCGAGATCCTTTGGAAGGTAGGGTCTTCTTCTTTGTTAGAGGGTGTGGTACAATGTCAATTAAGTAACATTTTTATTAATTAATGACCTCTTGGAGTATTTGAAACTTTTGAAAAACATATACACTAGAGAGGGAGAGAGGAAAAATGGGTCTAAACATCAAATTAGAATGTGTTACTCTCAGAATTTGATGAGGAAAAAAAAACCATGGAAATTTAGCTCAGATTAACTTCTTGTGGTGGGTTATGAATGATTCAATTTTAGATGCAAAATGCCTAAAAAATTGTTACTCTCAAACTTTTTTTTTTTTTTTGTAATTCAACACCCTAAGGAATCAAAATTTTCAATTAAATTATAATTGTGAAGTTATATTAAAATAACCTTTTGGAATTTGAAAAAGAAAAAAAAGCTTAAATTAAAATAGGTCTTGACTTAGTTGAATTAAAGATGTTATACTGTATTTAAATTATTTTCATTGAAAAAAAAAATCATTTGGTCTATGTGATATAGCCTGTACATTCATGCCAAGTTTCATCAGTTCCTTCTGGGTAGAACACTATTTCCACCAGTATATTTCCAAACATTTTAAGCACTATTTCTTTTTACATTATTTTTTAAAGGATATTTTATAATTGAATTGAATTCCTCCTTTAGATATCATCAGGTTTCCCATCATATCAGTTTATTCTATTGAGTGCTACCTTAAATAAAACAACAGTGATGTGTGTGTGTGGGACAGAGCTGAGCACAGAAATCATTGGAGTGGAGGATCCCATGAATGAAGACATTGCAGAGGTACAAGTGCCTGCAGCTAACACCATGTGATCTAACTGGTGTGGTGTGTGGGGCAGGTTCCCAAAAGACCCGGAGTCAAGTTAAAGCAGCCACAGGAATCAGACTTTGAAACCATCAAGCTCATCAGTAATGGGGCTTATGGGTGAGTTGCTGCTGCCTGGATAGTATTGTTCTGGTGTGTAATACTTTCATTGGGCATTCTTAGATTCTAGGATTTTTTAGTGGATAGGAATAAAAAGAGTTTAAAAGTTTGGTGAAATATTATTGATTCCTAGTAAAAAAAGGAAGTTCAATTAAATATTTGTATTTCCATAATCCTTTCTTCTTCTTCTTCTTCTTTCTTATCTCCACACTGGGTGAAGTAGAATGCGTCTGCCTTTGTCATTAAGACTGGGAGCACTACTCAGTGGCAGGCCGACTTAGCTCCAAAATAAATGGCCGCCTCTGACATGAGGAACAGATGCCATGTGCAGCCGCTCCTAACATGGAGTACAAACGCTGCTCATCCTGTATTCCTGGATTAGGAGCCCTTACAGGGTACTATCAGCCGGGCCAGCTGAGCCCAGGTTTTTTAATGAGCTTGTTACTGCTCCCCCTCCTCCTTTTTCATCCGGGCTTGGGACCGGCAAGGGCGGAGTTTCCAATGGTATCAGATGTGCTCTACAATCTTACCTAGAACTTGTGACAGCATTTGATGCAACAAAACTGACAAAATTTCACAGTCTTACCTTCAGGTACTGCAGGCCACCATGAGTCACTACTCCCCACCATTGTCTCACTGGCAGGCATCTCTCTCTTATCAATTGGTGAAATAGTGGTGAAAACTGTGGATTTCTAACAG